TATTCCCTCCTCGCCCTGCCCCCGGTGCAGCCCTTTGACGACACCCGACAGCGGGTCCCTCGGGGCAGCTCTTTCGGTGACTCGGGGCGGCTCCTTTAGTGTATTTAATTCTCTCCTCTCGATTTGATTCCATTCACGCCTCCCTCGCCACACCCCCGGTGACCATTCCACGGCCGCCACTCCTCGCTCGTCCCTCGGGGCAGCTCTTTTGCATACGGGGCGGCGGAGGCTCCTCCGGGGCGGCTTTTTTGTTTTGCTTTGGTTTATTCTCTGTATTTTATTCTGTTCCGATCTCGCTCCCTTCTCTGGCGACCCCCGCCAGGGCCCATCCCAGGCGGCTCTTCAGTGCCGGGGGCCGGCGGGGCCCCCCAAGGGCCGATCCCTCTCGCATTCGCTTCAGTCTCCACTTTGTGTTCCCAGCCCGCCCGTCCCGGGGCGGCTCTTCTGTGTTTGTGTCTCTTTTCAGACAGAGCTGGCATTTCATTGATCGATTCCCCACACTTTATGCCTGTTTAATGATATTTGATTGATTGTCTCGGAGATCAGGATCAACAGCTGGATCCTTCCGGCCGTGCTGCTTTCCAAGGAGAGCAGGACACGGGCAGAGCCGGCAGAACCAGCCTGCGATCCCCCAGTGCCCCCTGGGAGAGGTGTTGGAGAGCAAAGCCTCCCTTCAGGTGGGAAGGAAACTCTGCATTTCGTGAGCTGCCTGGACAATGTGTGCCCACAGCTGTGTGGGAAGCTGGCAGGAGGGAATAACATTCCCAAGCAGCTGCATCTCTGCTCTGAAGGAATGACTGTCTGCAGGTTCAGACACTTCTTAGTTTGACCCTTCAGCTACTTTAATAAAGCCTTCAGTTGAAGATCTTTGTTTCATCAGGAGCTCCTGGTACCTCCAAAAGCCAGGTCAGGATCACCAACAATTTCCTTTCCTATGTGGATATAACTGTTTGGCAGGATTCTGTTGAGGAGTCTGATGCTCTGTATCAAGACATTCCTGGAATAGTATTCCAAGGAGCATCCCAAACAACTAAACAATCAGGAATAATTGTGGTCCTTGGCTTTCAAACATGAAAAAGCAGGAAGTTGATCCATCAGGAAGAGCAACAGGGTGGGTGGGAGTGGTGGATGGAACTGGCAACGGATCCCAAGCAGGGGCAGCACCAGCCAGAGGAGACACCACCCCCTGAGGCAGAGTGTGGTCCCCACACAGCCTGGGAAGGAGGTTCCCCTCCC